ATACAACCCTCCACATACAACCCTCCACATACAACCCTCCACATACAACCCTCCACATACAACCCTCCACATACAACCCTCCACATACAACCTCCCACATACAACCCTCCACATACAACCTCCCACATACAACCCTCCACATACAACCTCCCACATACAACCCTCCACATACAACCTCCCACATACAACCCTCCACATACAACCCTCCACATACAACCTCCCACATACAACCCTCCACATACAACCCTCCACATACAACCTCCCACATACTGTACAACCCTCCACATACAGCCCCCCACATACAACCCTCCACATACAGCCCCCCACATACAACCTCCCACATACTGTACAACCCTCCACATACAACCTCCCACATACAACCCCTCCACATACAACCCCCCACATACAACCTCCCACATACAACCCCCCACATACAACCCTCCACATACAAGCCCTCCACATACAACCCTCNTCCTCCACATACAGCCCCCCACATAAAATCCTCCACATACAACCCTCCACATACAACCCTCCACATACAATCCTCCACATACAACCTCCCACATACAACCCTCCACATACAGCACCCCCACATACAACCTACCACATACAACCTCCCACATACTGTACAACCCTCCACATACAACCCTCCACATACAACCTCCCACATACAACCTCCNACATACAACCCTCCACATACAACCCTCCACATACAACCTCCCACATACAGCCCCCCACATACAACCCTCCACATACAAGCCCTCCACATACAACCTCCCACATACTGTACAACCCTCCACATACAAGCCCTCCACATACAAGCCCTCCACATACAACCTCCCACATACAACCCTCCACATACAACCCTCCACAGCAACCTCCCACTTACAACCCCCCACATACAACCCTCCACATACAACCCCTTATTTACCTGCTAAACAAACAGAAGTTCAATCATGTCCACTGCTTGTTGTTTAAACATGGGAAAGTGTGTTTTCAATGAGACTTGACTTGATATGAGTGATTTTTTTCACACAGTTGAAAGCGTTTCACAGCTGTCAGATATGACAGTTTCATTCAAATAATTTAGTGTTCTTGTATTAAAATTAATTATTCTTTAATGATAAAAATTGATAGCAAGGTTTCTATTATAAAATTTCTGGGACCATTTAAATGTTTCTGTTAATGTGTCGATTTGGCCTTAAATGTCATTACTAATGGTCTTAAAAGGTCTTAAATTTAACTTAATGAAACCTGCATGAACCCTGTAAAAAACAAAACTAAGTAAAAACCATAAATAACCAGACTAGAATTAACAAAACACTAGCTAAAACTGTAACCAGAATAGCTAGATGGTAAAAATAGTAAAATGGTATCTAGAACTTTAGTCATTTTGAACTCAAATTAGCAAAAGTTCAGCCATAAATAGCAAAAGGCTAGCCAAATGTAACCAAGAGTGGCTAAATGTTAAAATAAGCAAGTCTAGCAGAATGGTAGCTAAACGAGAGCTAAAATTAACAAATATCTAGCTAAAAACTAAAGGGAAACGTAAGCTAAAGTATGTTGATGCAAAATTTTATAGATGGCACTTTTGAAAGACTTGAAAATCTAAATGTATTTACATGGTAAAATATTTAAAGTCACATCACTGATCTTAATGAGCTGAACATTTTGATACTTAAACTGTTAAAATAGCACAAAACATGCAATACTTAAGCTGAAAAATAATAATAATAATAATAAAATCAACAGTGCGAGTGCTGAAGCATCATTCACACATGAAAAAGAAACAGCACAGTTGTTATTTTGGATTTCAGGCACTGAAGCTGGCAGGAGCCCAGGTCCTGGAGCCAGTGATGTCCCTCGAGGTGACTGTGGATGAGGGGCTCCTCAGCTTTGTGCTGGGGGACTTGGCCCAAAGACGAGGGATGGTTCGAGAGATACAGAGCCGCCATGACAGCAAGGTGCTGCTGGCCACGGTGCCGCTAGCGGAGATGATGGTGAGAAGACGTTTTATTTTTTCTCTCTTTGGTTTATTTTCCAGAAAATAATGAATTGTTCACATCTGTTTGCGCCTCAAAGGGCTACTCAACCACGCTGCGAACTTTGACCTCTGGCAATGCCACCTTCTCACTGGAGCTGGACACCTATGAGGCCATGAACCCCCAGGACCAGAACTCTCTGCTGAAGAAGATGTCTGGTCTGCTGTGATCCTGACAAGCTGCTGAGGCTGGGACTAATTATCAGGCCTCTGATGAACTCTCTGAGGGTGTGAGCTCAGATCTGTTATGGTCATTTAGCAGACATTTCATTCCTGTACCATGAAAAGGTGGGAAACCATGCGATTCCCTGAGCATGGATGGTTAAACTTGGTCATTTTAACAGGTATTGAACCAAAATTTGGTGTGGAAGTTGAGTCCTCCCTAATACTCTGACCTCAACTTAAAAATAAAAACATTAAACACCACTGGAGAAATGATTATTTCAACATTTTATTCACAATTTTATCAACAGTCATGAAAACAACATGTATACTCATAGAGTTATCACTTCGATATGAAAACAAAATAAATCATTTAAAATCTGTGCAAGCTTTAAAAAGGCAGCTAAGCTTTTTGATTTCAGTTTTAAACCCAAACACGGGGTTGATTGTGTACAATTGTTCGTCCCTTTTCTGTCCCCAGGCCAGCCCCTCTCTTGTCCTCAGAGACCCTTGTACTCTTTCGGACAAAAGCTGGAAAACAGCGGCTCAGCTGGGATCCCGCGCCTTACAGAGAGGAAGCGAACACGTTACTTTAACAGGAGTGTTACATGATTACAGCACGCTGCAGGCTCAGTACTTACTCCACCAAACGGCAGCGGTGCGCAGACAGTCTGTTGAAGGCGTCACCAATGTCGGTCACGTCTTTGGCGCTCCACAGCCGCTCCGCCACGGCACAGGCACGAGGCCTGAGAGGCAACAACCAAAATGAAAGAAATCAGGCTCCTTGTTGGATACAAATTAATTACGAAAATGTTGGGATGTTGTGTAAAATGTAACTACAATTTAATGATTTGCAAATCAATTGTTTTATTCACAGTGGAACATAGTAAACATATCAAATGTTGGAACTAAGATACTGTACTATATTACTGTACTGTACCATTGCAAATAGGGTTGCCACCTGTCCCGTATTGGCTGGGATTTCCCGTATTTTCAGCCCAATTGAAGTGTCCCGCACGGGACGCTCGTCCCGTATTCTGACCGCATCCTGAAATAACAATTCTGTGCCGTCGGTGCGCCTCAGCTCCTGCTCTCCCACAGAGAAGTGCTGCTGCCTGCCTGCAGGCACAGCCTCCTCGCCCCCTCCCTTCCTTTCCTTTTCTCAATGCTCGCTCTCTGACACACAAAAGCGCAGAGAGAGAGACATACGCACGGCTGCCTGCTTAACAACGTGCTGCTCAGACGAGAGAGTCACGGAGCAGGTAACGTCTTTCTCATTAACATATGATAACATTCAGCTTTTGGTCAAACTTAATTCTTCACAAAGAAGCAGAAATAAGTTCAAATTACTCCACAGTAGGGCTGCCACAAACAATTATTTTATAATCGATTAATCACCGATTATTTTTTCGATTAATCGGATCATAGGTTAATTGAATATAAAACATACAGCTTATCGTGCCAGAATGCAGCTGCTATTATATAACCATGGTTAGATTTTAGCTATATGCTAACTAAAAATAATTGCTGTGGAAGGTAAGTTCTGCTCTGCAGATATTACACAGGTTTCTCTTTCATTTTCTTAAAATGATCCCACACTCTGAGCTCTGTTGTCAGGTAGCCATGATACCAGAGCCTGTCTGTATAATGTCTTGTGACGTCCACGGCCTACCCCAGTTANCACTTACAACCCCCCACATACAACCCTCCACATACAACCCTCCACAGCAACCTCCCACTTACAACCCCCCACATACAACCCTCCACATACAACCCTCCACAGCAACCTCCCACTTACAACCCCCCACATACAACCCTCCACATACAACCCTCCACAGCAACCTCCCACTTACAACCCCCCACATACAACCCTCCACATACAACCCTCCACAGCAACCTCCCACTTACAACCCCCCACATACAACCCTCC